ACATCTGTAATGAGAAGGCTTGATATAAAAGAGAGGGGCTTCATTTGATCATGATCAATTTGTAGCTTCTCCACTATATTTAAAACAAAAATACAAGCTTACCTTTCTTTAAAATTTATAGATTTTGTTGAAAACACCACCTTATGGTACCATATTCGCCGACCATACCGAAATAAAGGGTTCTTTGGAAGTTAATCAACAGGTCGAAATTGTACAGGGAAAAGCCACTTATAAAGGTGTTATACAGAATATTAAAGATAACAGCATATACGTTGTTGGTGAGTGTCTATTCACTGTCCATGTTATTGATCCATTTCACAATCCCTACAGTTTAATGAGTGAGTACAAAAATTAGGTTACGAAAATTTAAATTGCAGTAACTCATTTTTATGGAAGATCGAATTAAAATTAATACTATTCTGGTCAAGCATAAAGTTTGAATTTACTGGGAAGGATTTAGCCTGTCCACTGACGAAACAATTTTTAGTCTTTAATGATGGTGACGAAAGACAATTACGACGTACACAGGTGTGCATCAAAGGTGCGAAACATTTTAATGAAGATGTCAATTTGGATGCAATGCCGTTATATAAACCAGAATCGTTCAGTAGTCCAGTAGTTCTTGATGATCGAAGAGGAAAACAAAAAAGGTTTTTTTTTCTTTCCTGTCAATCTTAACTATAATTTAATTTATCGATACACAAGTGAATTAACATAACATGAGCCGACTGTACTATGGCACCATCCTAACATTGATATATCCTAACCTTGTTTACAAAAAGTTTTCCACTTAAATATAACAAGAAATCTTTAATGACTTATGCCCTTTCCATGTTATTTAGTGATGGTCCAAATTTCTCATTAGCTACAAAAACATTAAGAACGAAAGATGAGAAAAAAAATAACACAATAGCTTAAGATTTGAGATGAGAGCGCACTCTAATGTCAAAATTTTTTCCCAATATGCAAAAGTTGGCACCTACGGCACATTTGCTGCATCTTGAAGATTCCTTTCAGAGCATAGGGTACAACAGATACCATACGGTTTCTTTGATGTTAATGGTTGGAATGTGTGTCACAATTCATGAATGTCACACATCATTTAATTACGCTAAAGAGGGAGATATAAGTCAAGCAAAAGGAGTGGGAAGTTTACCAATTATAAATCGTGTTTATGTGGAATTCTGCCAAGGACGAACGCTGATTGCTGTCTTATCTTTTGGCGGTGCCTGACTTCCATCCCAGGGTCTTCATTGAATTTCTCATTATTGTCCTACTATAACGATAACACAGTCGTTGTAGCTTTTCTTCCCCGATAACATATGTCATACATTGTCCGTAGCACGAAAGGTTTGCTCTCGACGTCTCTCGCTATTTCAACGTTTTCTCTAAGTTTTCTCCTTTATGTTGGCCGTGTCTCAATCTTCATTTTCTCAATATTTCGGCATTTCTTGTTCTTTCTATTTTACCTTCAATCAAAGAGTATAGCAAAGATGGAAAATTCAATTTTGCCTTAACTAATCGCGTAGTAAAAGAGTATCAATAGCAAATTGTAGAAGTGGTAATGCTGTGAGAAAATGGGTTTCGTTGGCAGATATCCGTCACCGATTCGTTCATTTTCTTCTCTGATTCTCTTTCTCCCTTTCCCTGCTTTAGGACAGTTGAAGGACATCATTCATAGGGTTTTCCCCTCCCCTCTCTCTTATCATTGTTTCGTCCGATCAATAACATTTCAACTTCCTATGTTTCCTGGAAAAGCTAGTTTTACTTGTTTATTTAATTTCACTTTTGTAAGGCTGCACTCTTTCCTTACCTATTGAAATCGTGCAAAGTATTTGTTTGTATTCGGTGAACTCACCCGAACATCACATCGCTATAGTGCAACTTGTCGGAACACCCATCTGTTGCGTCATTTCTCGCGTCATTTTCTGAAGTAAACATCTGTTCTCTTTCATTTGAAACATGAGTGTATACTTGCTTGGTGAAATGTAGAGAAAGGAACAACGAGGCATGTGTGTAAAATGATTTATGGGAGATCATCGTTCTGTTCATAGCAATATTCTCGGAACATCTTTAACTTTCAAAGTATTCGGTGATCAGCTTTGTTCTTCCGAACATCACTTTTTTTGCTGCTGAGATATTTAGAATAGCAGTGTACTTAGATCAGGATTCTTTTCTTCAGACGGTATTGCTTCGTATATTCTCGAGCAATCCAAGTTAAACAGCTTGTATCATCGTATCTTCGAAAGGGCCCACCGTATCATCTTATTTATTGGAAATGTTCCACCTAGTATCCATTACATACACTTCATCTAATAAAATCATCAGTTCATAGTGTGCACACAGACTTTTGTTTCGATTTTCTTTTTTGGACGAAAGGAACACAAACATTAATGCTTAGTTTTAGAGGATTAATAGTGTGTTAACAGTTTTCTGCACCGTAAAAACTGACTTGCATTTCGTCTAGTCAGCATGCACTGCGCGCATCCAGCATGCCATTGCACACTGAGTATTATATAAATGAATTTTATACATAGGAGAAATTTGGAACAATCGAAACAGCAACGACGACAATCAACATCAACAACTGCTGGAGATAAAGATGACGGGGAGCATGGTGACGACGCGACGTCCAGCGAAGATGGTTCAGCACTTGAAAGTTCTACTAGCACTGCTCTGTCTGACACCAGTAATAACACAAGTGAAGCTGTAACTGTTCCTGCACAGTCAGGTCGTACTCTCCGTACACGTCGGCTAACGTCCAAATCAGTTCCAAGACGTTTACGCAGTGCACGTAGGGAATTTGCATCATTCTGCAGACAGAGTAATAGTGATCGTAATTTGAAAAATGCCGATGATGAGAATGATGACAACACTAATAATGATGGTGATGGGAACGCAGGTGGTTCGAGGATGCGTCGTTTTGTGCGCTTACCGAAACCGTCAGTTTCACGCATGATTGCTGATAAAATTCTCACCAAGTCTATTGCACGAACACGTAAAAAGCGTTATGCAGCAGCAGTTGCCACGAATGCGTTGAAACGTATCAAGGAATCAAAAAGCACTGGTGGTAAACATAGGTTAGGTGAAGACGATGATGATAACTATGATAAAGATGATGAGAACAGTAATATTGATGGTGATGATGATGATGATGATGATGATGATGATGATGATGATGATGATGATGATGATGATGATGGTGGTGGTGATGGTGATGGTGGTAATGGTGGTGGTTATAATAATGATGACGATGACGAGATTGACGATACAGATAAGGAAAAAGGAAGAACACATGCACGAAAAAAGCATTGCAGTAGTGATGATAATGATGATGATAAATCCCATACAAGTGATAAAAAGATGGATGTGATGAGTGGCAATAACACAAGTCGCAAAAGCGAACGGAAACGACAAGGACTTCGGGATAAGGAAGTGGAGCCGGTAATAAAGAAAAGATTGAAAGATATTGGTGATACGAAGAAGGTAGGATTTTTCTGACAGGTTGTAGTAATTTCAATTTTAGAAATCAAGTTTCCATAAGTTTGTTGCAGGCATCTGAGGAGCAGAAGCGAATTCAAAGTAGTTATTTTTAGCATGTTATGGTTTTTTTTCCAAAATTATTTGCGGTGTCAGTAATACGGGAACATTCATTTCAGTTGTATAAGGTTGGAGGTGTTGTAGCAGTGTATGAGGATGCTACGCGAAAGGGTAAATGGACACCAGCGGTTGTCGTTGCGGAAGTGTCATTTAAGATTGGAACAAAGGGAACTGTAAGTGTTGGCAAAAGTGATATTCTATTGCGAAGCTTCAAGGATTCGAAATAGTATGTTTGAAATACTAGAATTATAGGGTTTAAACGATCACGAGGAGAAAATCCCATTTTAGCAATATTCTAGGGGTGTGTTAAAAATGAACTGCGAAATACTACTACAAATTTGTTTAAGTGAGTAGTCAGATGATCCAAGAATGGATTGGAAGGTGTGATGATTGGCACCGTTTACCTTCGCTTGAGTGAAATGCTTTCATTATGCTTCTGCTACTACTGCAGAGGATGTACTGTACTAAATGAAGTTTTCTTCGGAAGATTCTTCAAATTCCTCAAATTTTCCACATCTTTACATCCGTATCAAATTTGTCTCATAAGGAAAGCACCAGCTAATTTATTTTTCCAACTTTCAAACCGGCTTATTTCTTAGCTTTGCTTGTCCAATGGGTAGATTGTCTTCACCGGGCACTTCAGTTCTCAAGTTTACTGACTCGTCGCCTAAAGCTGCTATGGATCGAGCTGTTGCTTTCGTTGAAAAAGGTAAATGAATTTATGATATGTAAATTTTTTTGATGAATTTTTTGTTCGATGTTTTAATTGCTTGATTTGTCAAGTTAGTGAGGTATGTTTTTTAGAAATTTTCCCGGCAGGATGGGAAAGATCACAAATTTATGATGACGATGTACGGTCTAAGAAACGCGAATGTAGATCTTCTTCGACTGATCAAAAAAAACGGGAAGCTTCCACTAAAGCGAAACGAGAAATTGAGAAGAAAACGTACGTTAATTTTCTGCCGTAAATATATAAAATAAGATGAATGAATTGAGAAATAAGATTGTTTCATTAGCGTTACTGAAACCATTATTTTTATTTTGAAGTGCATGTTTTTTGCAGTTCCGCTGAGAGTAGCACTTCAGGGAGCGAGAGCAGTACTGACGAAGAATACGGCGAAGAAAGAGATCAGTTTACTGCCCAGTTATATAAGTTCCATGAAGAAAGAGGTTTCCACTTTTTTTTCTTTTTTTGCGTACTACGGTATGAGAATTTGGGGTGTATTCGATTTTAACAGAATTACCTTGCCGTCTTTAGAATAAGTTTGAGATTGTAGGGTTGACTGAATTGCATCAGAATGTAGGCAAATCTAATGGGTCAAGTATTTTTTTCTTTTTTTTGTGAAAAATGAAGTATTTACGAAGAACGAGAAATATTGCACTTGGATCGTTTTACTTATCATTTGAAGCTTCCACGCATTTGGCTTCTTCTGCAGGAACTCCAATTAACCGAGCACCAATACTTGGTGGGAAAGACATAGACATGTTTCGGTTGTATAATGTGGTTCAACGATATGGTGGTAAAAAACGTGTGACTGAAAACAATCAGTGGAAGTTGGTTTTGCGGAAAATGCATTTGGAAGGATGCCCAGGAGCAACTTCAGTTACTGTTAAAAATGCCTATTCGAGGTGATTAACCATTTTCTTACTAAAAGAAAGTATGAAATAGATCAGTCTCTACTAGTCTCGACTTGGATCTTTTCCAGATACTTGGATCATTTTAATTCATTTTACCGCAATTTGGGTATTTCGAGCTGGTTATCCACCCCTACACCGTCAACTTCCAGTCGTAGTGAGCGTCCAAATCGTTTATTAGATCGTCACAATATACAGGTTTGATTTTATTACCACTAGTAAATATTCAGTAACTTGTGCATTTTATTATGAGGAAGCATAATTTTGTAGCTGCAAAGAAGAAAATTGGCATTAAAGGCAACGAAGAAAAAAGAAAAGGGACAAAAAGAAAGCACAACTAAGGGAAAAGCAACGAAGCGAGAAAAAGATGATGGTATTCCACGTACGAGAAAAGAAAAAGTAAAAAAAGACGAGCGAAATATGACGAAATCTGATGTCAGCGAAGATGATGATAAAATGAGGGGGCATGTCATTTTGTAATCTTTATTTACTCGATTTTTTTTTCCCTGGAAATGCATTTAGTACTTACTGTCAAGCAGATAGTCTGGTTAGTATAAGAATGTGAGAATGAAGACAAATAGACTGCACTGAAACTTCAAGCAGTATTGCTTTCAGAAGCTTTAACAATGTTACTTGTTAGAGTTTGTCTATGGCCAGGTTCTCTAGCTCATATGTTAAGATGATTGTTCTGATGAGCGGTCATTTTTCATGTAGCTGTGTTATTTGTAAAAGATAAAATAAGTTAAGCAGATAACCTGGTTATGACAAGTGCAGTATAATAATTTGGACACTGATCAATGTTTTTTCAGTGCACCATCTACGTCGTCACAGAGTCCAACACCATTACTTTGCTTGTCGCCTGGTAGCAAAACAAAGTCTAAGGCAAAAGATGAGGAAGAACAGGACAAAGGAAGTGTGAGCGATAGTGGAACAATCGAAAGTACCAAAGAAAAGGGAAGTTTCAAGGTTGAGAAGGAATCAAGCAGAATTAAGCAACGAGGTTCAAAGAAAAAGGATAATGAGAAGGATGCAAATAAGTTCGTGCTGGTTTAATTCTTAAAGATTGAAAAGGAGACATTGAGCATGTTGTACATAGATGTGTTACTTACTGACATAGTTTAATTATTTTCAGTCTTCACTTCCAAGGATTTTCATTAAGACAGAAGGTAGTCAGAATTTTTAATAGTAGCCAATTTTACTCTTTATTAGTAATTTGATTCAGCTGAGAAATTTCCCAAAATTTGTTTTTAGTTGGATTAATTATTCTGTTGTAGAGATGAGCAACAGCCTGGCTCGAAAGCTTCCGATACTGATAAGAGGACTAAAGTATCAAAGGTATTTCGTAGCTCATTATTCTGCTGAGGTCATCATATAAATGTTTTTTTCTGTGTTCCATATCTCCCCTTATTATTTCTCATTTTGTTACCGAATTTCAGATTAGTAAACCGGAGAAGAAATCATTTTCTGAGTGTTATATTAAACGAAAATCTCCAAGTATTGTCTCAACAGCTTCAAATGCCGATCTGGGAGCTAGTGGAAGCGATGATGAAGGTTTGATGGTTTATTTTCATTAGGCTTTTGTGCAAAATGTTGCACGACTTTAAATTTCTGAAACACAATGTTGATGGTATGATGAGAAATACAAAAGAAAGTGGAGTGATTGCGTTTACGCAGTTGTGGAGACGTTCAGGAAATTTTGGTTTTTCCCAGGAAAACAGTCTTTGAGTGAGGTACGATGTTTAAGTTTAACAGGATTCATAATATCATATTCCGCATTTTCTAGCACACATTCGACAAATGCGTTTAAAAGAAGCCCGGAAGTTGGCCACTGCGGGAACTCGCCTTTCTGCAGAGCAGAAAGAATTATCGATAAGCAAGCGTGATGGAAGTGCCGTAGGAAAAGATTCGGATATTCCTCAAGTGCTGAGGAAGGAAAAAGCCAAAGAAGGTGTACCATGGCTTAATTGTTCTGCAGCTACAGTGTAAGCTTTACTATTTTTATGCTTACTTTTCTCCCTTTTTATCAATCTCGAAAAACGGCGAGTTTTTGACTATTAGTGGAAGGAACCTGATGAATGCATCTGTGGCATTTGTCATCGATACTGTAACAATATTTGGAAGCATGGTTTGGAACTTGCTCATTTGTTTACGTCGTTACTTTTGTTTTTAATAATAAGAATATCGCTATATAGCTTATAGCTTAACGAATTTCTACATGGGACAAAATGTGAAAGCTTATCATCATGGTCAGTGGTATGATGCAAGAGTGATTACAGTGGGAAAAATTTCACATGGTGATGTCCTCTCTTCGATGATGGACTTCGAGGCGAGGTTTGTTCCTCGTGCAATGTTTCAGGAATTGTAATTCAGAGCAATGAAATAAAGTGTGTGACGTGAATGATATCGAATATTCTTTGGTTAACTGTTCCTTGTTTTTTTGTTATTGAAGTCGAATGACAATCTTAAGATGCAAAGCCATCAATGAGTTAACGGACTGCGATGAGAAAGAACGAAAAGAAGCACTAACAAGAGCATCGGCACGCTTAAATGATCGCTTAGAAGGTATTCTCCGGGAAATGACATGTTGTGTACATTACCTTGGATGGAATTCTCGTTACGATGAGTGGGTGGAGTTAATCAAAATTAAAGTACATGAAAAAGTTAGTGTTTCAAGTCTTTGTATCAATTTCAAATTCAGATGCAGGATGAGAAATATTTAGTTTGCTTCTTGTTATTACTTAAGTGCGTATTATTATTTCTACTACTACTAAAAAACGAAAAGATTACTATAATACAAAATTTCGTGCTTGAATCCAAGCTAATTTTAAGGACCAGAAATTGTCGGAAGAACAGTTTTTATCGATTGCATCGGATAAATTAAGTGCTCCTACCCTTGAAGCAGCTGTAGCATGGCGTTCTTCTGTTGATCCAGCCAAGCTTCTGGCAACTGAAGTGTGTAGTAGTGGAATGAGGTTAGTAAAGGCCGATGGTCACTCATTTTATATTGGGTTGGATTGATTTATTGGTATTTGGGTTTTTTTTATTTTATATTGGGTTTGAGGAGATCAGTGAGTAATTTATTTGAAGAATACATAACTTTTTCAAGTTTTTTTTTGAAATATATAAGTATGAAATATATAAGTATCATATTTTACATATAAGTGTGCGTTCTTTTTAAAGTACACATTTCGAGTATACATTTTTTAAGTATATAGTTTTAAGTACATATATATATATATATATATATATATATATATATATATATATATATACTTAAAATTTAGAACAAGGAAAAGAAATGCTAGCTCAGTTCAAGTAAGAATTCGGAGGAGGAAGTAGAATTG